TTCTGGAATTCCTTAATATTGAGTTCCTTAATATTTAAATTAAATTAACCCTCATTTTTTTGCTCTACTCTTATTGGCAGATGGGAATAATTAGCATAGTTCTTTATGCTTCCCTGTTATCTTTCTTTCTGACTGAACAAATCTAGTTAAGTTCAATATTTTTTTTCTTGAAGACTAGGAATGTAAGACAGTTACTGTTACCCTTTGAACTATATCTAATTTACCTTCAGATTATTGATACTTATTCCATCTTAAAATGTGATAATCTTGTTGGTTATGCAATAAGCATGCGAACCCCCAAAACTAATAAAAAAGATCATATGCTACAGGTTGGAATTCCATTAGATGATACTCTTTCAGTTTCCTTGTTGCGTATTCTGGAGTTGGTTTCTTCCTTCTTGTATAAATTAGCTTTTGCTTTTCTTTGACATAATGACAGCTCCTTTTTCTCCTCCCCCCAAATTAAAATTAATCATAATCTTTCAAAGAGTTCTGTATTACCTTTCATTTTTGACTGACATCCTACTTGCTGTAGTCCTCAAGAAATCAATGAATATATTAACTGAAATTAGACTTGGCACCTGTCTCCAAGGAACTCAGCTAGATAGTTCTTGGGAGACTTAGATGGAATTTTTAATAACTTCAAAAGGGATTAAAAAAAAACTGTGCATTCTTTTTTTGACATTAAGCCATTACGATTTATTAAAATGCATGTATATGTGGCTCTTATATGCATATGAAAATTTAAGTATTTAATTAAATAGTTCATAATTTTATTCCAAGTCATTATAACTCCTTTTCCCAACAGCCTTAAACACAAAGGTATTTCACCATATTGACTTATCTTTTCTTATAAAACTGCATTCTTAAGTCATTCTTTCAAACCCATGCTTTTTGAGTTCCCAAATAAAGACATAAGGGTAGAATAAAACAAATACGACCAGAGATAAGAGCATTAGAACACTCTAAAAAAATCTAACAAGTTAATGATTGTTATGAAAAGAAACTAAACGGCTAGTTTAGGTAGTATCTTATCAACACAAAAGAACAGTGTATTTCTTCTCAGCCACAACATTCAACTTGAAGGGCAAAGGAGCTGGAAAAACATGGTGCTGAAGAAGGGAGACTATAAATATTCAAGACTTTTTTTTGGTTTGTTTCTAAATTTCAGAACATTTTGTTTTTCTTTAGAGCTCTAAATAAGTCAGGTACAGAAACCTCATCTCAGACTAAAAGTAGTAACAACCAGATGATGAATAGAAAAGAGTTTAGTCTGAAAGAGTGAGTTGGAATCCTGGTTGTACTATTTAATAGCTCTGCAACTTTTATCTTTTCGAATTTCAGTTTCTACCTCTGTAACACCAGTATAATACCGCCAAATAGGGTTGGCGAGAACTAAAATAAAGAAGGAATGTAATATCTGTACAATGCCTGGCTCATAGTAGGCATTTTTTTTTTTTTTGTGGTACGCGGGCCTCTCACTGTTGTGGCCTTTCCCGTTGCGGAGCACAGGCTCCGGACGCGCAGGCTCAGCGGCCATGGCTCACGGGCCCAGCTGCTCCGCGGCATGTGGGATCTTCACAGACCGGGGCACGAACCCATGTCCCCTGCATTGACAGGCGGACTCTCAGCCACCGCGCCACCAGGGAAGCCCCCATAGTAGGCATTTGATAAATTTTCATGGACTTTTCCCCCTTCCCTAACCACTGTGGAAATCAAAATTGACAGATAAATAGTGTTCTCTTCACTCTCAAAGCTATTGTGGTGAGAAAAAGATAGAAATAACCAAATGGAGCTATAAGTCTCCTCGATCTAAAATTTTAAAGTAGATAAGTAAGTAGTGAAATAAAACTGGTAAGAGATAAATAGAAAGAATGATGGAACTATAAAACCCATATGAAAGCTAAGATACTGTTAATCATTCCTATTTTCCTCTTGGCTGTGATGATATTATATTTCATATTCAGTGAGGGGATAAATTACCCAAACTTCGAAAAGTAAAATTAAAAGTGTTTCACAAAAACAAAAACTGCTTCCATTTTCTAGATGTTTTATCAGAAAAATATTTCAAAATGAAAGTAAGGCCTTTCAGTCATTCATCTGAGATGACCTGTTTACGTGTCTACTACATGCCAACTGTCATACTAAAGGGCAGAGGGTATACAAAAGAAGGTGAAAGAATCTGTTAAAGGCATAGTACATGCCAAGTGTTTCAGGCATGCACCACTGTGTTAGTCACCAACTGGGTGACAAATAGCAGAAATTTATTTTTTCACAGTCCTGGAGGCTAGAAGTCCAAGAACAAGGGGCCCCTCTGGGGCCTCTCTCCTTGGCTTGCAGTTGGCTGCCCTCTTGCTGTCTCTTCACATGGTTGTCCCTCTGTGTACGTACACCCCTGGTGTCTGTGTCTCTTTGTGTGTCCAAATTTCCTCTCCTTATAAGGCTACCAGTAAGACTGGATTAGGGCTCACCCTAATAGCCTCATTTTAACTTAATCACATCTTTAAAGGCCCTATCTCCAGACTGGGGGTTGAGATTCAACATAGCAATTCTGGGGGAAGACACAATTCAGCCTATAAGAAACATCATCTCACTTAATCATCACCGTGTTGTATAAGTGAGGATATAGGCTTTGAGAGAATAAATAACTCATCGAATGTCAGATAGCCAGTAAGTGGTAGAAGGAAAATTTTAACCAAGGTCTCGTTATGAGTACACCAAAGCCTTTGTTCTTTCTGCTATTCACACCTCCTCAAAGAATTACACATCTAGTTGGGAAGACATAGTACTGACTGATGAAACTTTAAATATGGGGCTTACTGATAAGGAGGCACTTATTCACTGAACTTGTGTATTATATGGAAAGAAGGGACTCAGGATTAATAAACATTTATGTAATAAATAGAATATTTATTACATTTTAGGCTGGGTTCTTTCACAAAAGAGTCTATTGGTTCCCTTACAGGAGGAACTGCTGATTGTCAAACAGAACAGTCTTGGTATGTCTTGGCCCAAAGCCTACAGCTGATCCAAGTCAATGTCAAATACAAGAGGGTTTTCTAGAATAAATATCTTAGATATACTCTTTTAGATCTCTTTTCTTCTGCATTTGGGTGTAGGTTATGTGCAGGTATACATGTATGAAATTCCTAATCTGCTTTATAACATTCTACATTTATCGTTTAAAGTTTAAAAGTACCATTCTAGCTTGTGCTTTATTCTCTAACTACATTTGATGGATGTATACTATATGTTAAATTGTAATTACATAATTAATAAGTTAAATAATTACACTCCTAGATTATGTTATAACGCTTCCAAAGAAGACCATTACAGGTATGCATACTAAGGCATATGTCTAGAATCCTGGTACATACCAACTCTTACACAAAAACTGTTGGGACTCCTCAAAGCTGGAAGTGAAACTCCCATGTGAAAGATGTCCTCCTTATACTACCAGGAAAGAAACAAAGAGAGGCAACTGTGGACAAGTAACTAAAATATATGGGGGACTAAAGGAAGATAAGAATTATTTTAACAAGATCTGTTTGTACAAATTACTCTCCACTTTGACTCCCCTTTTCTGGTGATAAGGATGCAAACTTCACAAAGCTAAGGTGCCTCTCTTTGTTCAATTTAGTATATAAACAATTAGGCCTAGCCACTCCTTTGGGTCTTCATTTTCCTATGGGGATTCTCATGTATCTGTAAAAATCTGTATACTTTTCTCTTGTTAATCTGTCTTACGTCAATTTAAGACTCAGGCCCAGGTGGGGACCCTAGGAGGGTAGAGGTAAAGTTTTGTGCCCCCTGCACTATATATATAATAAATATATAGTACTTACCATGTATTATAAGGGCTACAAGAGCCTCCTGAAGGAGGCTGAATTGTGGAAAACCATTATTTTGAGGTAAGTTCCTTGAATATTAATTATACCATTTCCAAAAAAAACAGTACAAAAGCACATTCCAAAGTTAGATCTGACTTTTAGTATGATTTATTCTTCTGCTTCTCTCCTAGAGAATGAATATTAAACAGTGTTCTTATCAGTAATGGGAATTCAGTTGTGATTTTTCAAACTGTCTCAACTGAGGGAAGTGGGTGGAAGAGGTGGGAGTAGTATATTAGAATCTCCAGGGAAAAACGGGAGAGCAGATAGAGAAGTAATATTCAGAGTTTAAAAACAAAGCAGTGCTTTTCTCCAATACTTTTACGTGTTTTTAGTCATAGGATTTAATGTTTTGAAATTTCAAGTAACATTAAGGCAGGGCATATGTTAACCAAAAACAGAGGTTGAGGAACACCAGCATAAGGGAATTTTTAATAATCAGAAGAAATCAGAGACTTCATTTTTTTGTCTCCAGACTAAAGTGCATATAGAGGGCATTTAATGAACGTTTTGAACTGAACAAACTCAGTAGCCAATTAACCCCAATTACTTACTTAATTCAACAAGTACACACATAGAAAAAGGTAATGCTCTTACAGAGTTGTGTCCAGGAACTGAACACCATGATGGTCTAAACTTTAAGTGGAAAAGTAAATCCCCAAACCCAGTATGACACCTTTGTAACTCTGAGCACATATATTTTTATTTCTGACATTTTGTGTTTCCAGCTGTTACTACCTTTGTAAACTTTCATAGAAAGAGCTCCTTATTATCCCCCTCTCCTTACCCTTTTGGTGCCTTCTACACAATAAACATCCATGCTCAGGTTGAGAACTGCTCTGACCCCTGAACTTCTTCTTCTTCAAGCTGAGTATCCAAAGACAACTAAGATTTTCAATTTGACTTTTTTGGCTTTCAGTCCCAGAACAAACTTAATGTAAGACATATTATTTCCTACCTGCTGTCTGGCTGTAGATCACCGATAAGGCTCAAACTAATCAGTCTCCGTGGTTGGAGGCAGATTGAAAGAATACTTATAGTACAGGCCCCTCCCAGCGGCTCTACGTGCATACATGATAGACAGTGCCCTGAAGTCCAAGGAATACCTACTTCCAGCTTGAGAACATCGTGCTGAAGTTTACGCTGAAATTCAAGGAAGTTTTTGATTGTCAGCTTCCCCTTGAGATCAGCTCCAAAAAAGTAGGTTGTGAGGGCTGAACACAAGCCAGACTTGAGGGTGTTACCAGTTGTAGAACGATCTCTGTGACGCATTCCCATGCTGGTTTGGGAGCGAATGATGCTCTGAACCTAATGGAGAAGCAAACCCCGTCCAGGAAAACATTACAAGGTGGAAAATATGGAAAAGTAAGAATAGTAACTGACTATCAACTGCTTACTGTTTGCCTACACTGTGCTACAATGCTCTCTTTCAATGCTCACAACAGTCCTATGTGATAAGCCCCATGATTATTCTCATTTTACAGATGAGGAATTTGAGGTACACTGCTAAATAACTTGCTTGACGTCAAGTAGCTAGCAAATAATTGAACTGGTATTCTAACACGCATGCTTGACACCTTTATAATTGGGATGCCTTTTAAAAATCTCTCTTTAGAAAAAAGTATGCATTTGTTTTAGGCTCAAAACCTCACACACAACATTAAAATAATCATCAACCTCACAGTAATACCTTCCATTATCTCAGGAGACTTTTAAAAATTTCACACTTCTCACTACTGACTCTCCAGTTGTGATGAGAGGCGGTATAGCTATAGGCAAATACTTGATATCACAGAGATATTGAGATAACACATTTATTAGAATGATAATGTGAAACATAAAAGTTGGTATGAAGTAATTCTCCAAGAGAAGATGGGGAGTTAGTTTAATCTTTGAGAAGTTTTAAATGAGCTTTTGAAAACAAACAACCCAATCCAAAAATGGGCAGAAGACCTAAACAGACATTTCTCCAAAGAAGATATACAGATTGCCAACAAACACATGAAAGGATGCTCAATATCACTAATCATTAGAGAAATGCAAATCAAAACTACAATGAGGTATCACCTCACATGAGTCAGAATGTCCATCATCAAAAAATCTACAAACAATAAATGCTGGAGAGGGTGTGGAGAAAAGGGAACCCTCTTGCACTGTTGGTGGGAATGTAAATTGATACAGCCACTATGGAGAACAGTACAGAGGTTCCTTAAAAAACTAAAAATAGAACTACCATACGACCCAGCAATCCCACTACTGGGCACATACCCTGAGAAACCATAATTCAAAAAGAGTCATGTACCACAATGTTCATTGCAGCTCTATTTACAATAGCCAGGACATGGAAGCAACCTAAGTGTCCATCGACAGATGAATTGATAAAGAAGATGTGGCACATATATACAATGGAATATTACTCAGCCATAAAAAGAAACGAAACTGAGTTATTTGTAGTGAGGTGGATGGACCCAGAAACTGTCATACAGAGTGAAGTGTAAGTCAGAAAGAGAAAAACAAATACTGTATGCTAATACATATATACGGAATCTAAAAAAAAAAAAAAATGGTTCTGAAGAACCTAGGGGCGGGACAGGAATAAAGACGCAGACATAGAGAATTGATTTGAGGACAAGGGGAAGGGTAAGGGTAAGCTGGGACGAAGTGAGAGAGTGGCATGGACATATATACACTACCAAATGTAAAATAGACAGCTAGTGGGGAGCAGCCACATACCACAGGGAGATCAGCTCAGTGATTTGTGACCACCTAGAGGGGTGGGATAGGGAGGGTAGGAGGGAGACTCAAGAGGGAGGAGATATGGTGATATATGTATATGTATAGCTGATTCACTTTGTTATAAAGCAGAAACTAACACACCACTGTAAAGCAATTATACTCCAATAAAGATGTTTAAAAAAATACAAAAAAAATAAATGAGCTTTTGAGAAAGAATAATCTGGGGGACTAGCAATCATGGCTTAACTATATAAAATGAGCTTTTTGAGGCAAGTCTATGATTGATATAGCAATTTTTCACAAGTTCCTGCAATCTTTTCTACCTCTTCACAAGCTAAAATAACAACTATTCAGAATAATTAAAATTGTGATATGTAAGGACAGATAATAAAGGTATATTATATAAATAAATAATATATATAGCCTTGTGGATAATGATTTTTAAATTGCCAAATTAGAAAAGCATAATACTTAAAAACTTAAGATTTGTAACAATGGATTTCCATGGTTAAATGTCTTTTATTTGTTTTATTTATTACCTATGACCATAAAAAGACTTATTTAACACAATTTAAAAGTCTCTGGCTCTAACAGGTAAAAGTCGCATAATGGAAAGACACAAGATGGGGAATCAGGACACACGGGGTCTAATTCTGTGGCTCTGCAATGAAAGCACAATTTATGCAGTTCATTTAACTTCTTTGGGCCTTAGTTTTCTCATTGGAAAAGTTCACGGTTAGAGATCATTGTCTCTAAGTCTCCTTATAACTCTAGGTTAATATCATAAATGCTTCTGATTATGATTTTTTTCTGGGTTCATGTTTTATCATGTAAATAAGATTTCTTGACATTTGTTTTTCATGCCCACAGAGACTTGAAAGATAGGCATACAATGGATTTTAAAATTATTTAAGTTGAAGTTTTTTAGACATTAAATTGAAATACAGGATAATCAGTACAGTGCTGCTTCTATTTGAAGGCAATACACAATTCATTTTCTCTGCCTGGGTGTGAGAACTGAAGAATTTTCCAATAGCAGTGAACCAGCATTGAGCATCAACGTCAAGACCTGTCATGATTTCAATTTTGTCTGTGCTATAATATTGCAGCTTATACCCTTCCTATGGTGGAAATGTGTATGTTACCTTCAAAAGTGTGGTGCTGAAGAGTATATGTGGAAATTTCATTCCCTTTCTTCTGTCTCACAACTCATACTTTCATACTAAAAAAACATTTCTGTCACAGCCTCGGGTGAATGTAGCCCAACCAGTTATGAGATTTCTTAAAAAATATCTTTTGCTAGGTTAGTTCTGTTTTATGATCTGCTATGAAATGGATTAAAGAAAAGGATCTGGGGGCTTCCCTGGTGGCACAGTGGTTAAGAATCTGCCTGCCAATGCTGGGGACATGGGTTCAAGCCCTGGTCCGGAAAGATCCCACCTGCCGTGGAGCAACTAAGCCCGTGCACCACAACTACTGAGCCTGCGCTCTAGAGCCCGTGAGCCACAACTACTGAGCCCACATGCCACAACTACTGAAGCCCGTGCGCCTAGAGCCTGTGCTCTGCAACAAGAGAAGCCACCGCAATGAGAAGCCCATGCACCGCAAATGCAGAGTAGCCTCCGCTCACCACAACTAGAGAAAGCCCATGTGCAGCAATGAAGACCCAGTGCAGCCAAAAATGAATAAATAAAATAAATTTATAAAAAAAGAAAAGAAAGGTCAGAGAAAACTTACACTATTTACAGTCGTGTAACGTTTTTTTAGTAATTTATGTTTATGCATGATCAAAGTGATTTTTGAAAAAGATGAATAAAAGAGTAATATTCGGTATTAGCTTGCTTCACACCACATTGACTTTGAAGATACACAATGATGAAATGTGTGTGTCCTCATACTGGTTCTGTTTAACTTTTTTTGTAAGCTTGACAAATTTACCGTCAAGAAAATACCTATTTAGCTGGAAATCAAAGTTTGAATGTTTTAAAGCTTAGTGTACTTTCAACTTAAAGAATTATTATATTGCCCAAAAATGTAGAACGTAGAACAATGAAGCAGAGAAACTTCTAATGAGAGCTATTCACTCCTGAACCACCTTATAATTATTTTTGTTCCTCTAAAGAGTTTTTACATCAAAATCCCTTGGGATCAATATTACAAGTTCCATCAGTTTAACAAGGCCAGTTATCAAGGGATCATAATAGATGCAATTAATACTCCCTTCTCCGTCAAGTGAGCAGCATGGTGGAGTGACTGCTCCAAGCCATTCAGCATTTCAACAGCAATGCCAAAAATGTTGGTGAGGATGTGGAGAAAAGGGAATCCTCAGGCACTACTGGGAATGTAAATTGGCATAGCCAGTATGGAAAACAGCATGAAGATTCCTCAAAACATTAAGACTAGAACTACCATACGATCCAGCAATTCCACTTCTGAGTATTTATCCAAAGGAAACCAATCACTATGTTGAAGAGATATCTTCAGCCCCCCCCACCATATTCACTGCAGCATTATTTACAATAGCCAGGACATGGAAACAACCTAAGTGTCCACTGGCAGATGAATAGATAAAGAAAATATGATACACACACACACACTGGAATGTTATTCAGACATAAAAAAAGAAGTAAATCCTGCCATTTGTGATTAACATGGATAAACATTGAGGGCATTATGCTGGATGAAATAATTCAGAGAGAGAAAGGCAAATACTATATGATCTCACTTATATGTGGAATCCAAAAGAAAGCTGAACTCACAGACACAGAGAACAGATTGTTGGTTGCCAGAAGTAGGGGATGGAGGGTGGGCAAAATGAGTGAAGGTGGTCTAAACTTCCACTTATAAGATAAATAAGCCTTGGGGATATAAGCATGGAGACTATAGTTAACAAAACTAAATTGTATATTTGAAAGTTGCTAAGAGAGGAGATCTTAAAAGTTCTCATCACAAGAAAAAAAACTATGTGTGGTGATGAATATTAACTAAATTTACTGTGGTAATCATTTCAAAGTATATACATAGGTCAAATTATGTCATACACCTAAAACAATGTTATATGTTAACTATATCTCAATAAAAATAAAATAGTTCTGTGTAAAATAAAATTAAAAATACCAAAATAAGTTCTATTTATAATCATTTGAGGCCACCTGGTAATACCAGTGAAGTGCAGAATTATGAAAAGTGAAGGTATTAGACGGACATAGCTTGCAAATTTGAATAAATATCTGTAGGGATTTTGAAATATTTGTCTCTATGCATTTCTTATTTAAAGATACACTATTCCTGATACTTTCTCCCACTTCCTTTTTGCCTCTTTACTCATTGTGAATACAAAAATGTTATCTCTCACATATATATTGTTTTCTGTTTTGAAACCACTTCTACCAATCATAATAATTATACCTGGAGAAATACCATGGCCCTCCAAGAACAGAAGTTTGATGGAAATGTAATCTCTTCCTAGGATTCAGAAGAAACTATATACTTTTATGGCTGGAACGTGCTACAGTAAAAGGCATCGTACCATTTTTCCTTCTCTTACAGAAATCCTTTCAGAACATATGTCATTCATCCTTGTATTCTGGAACTGCCTGGCGCAAAGGAGCTATTTAATAAATGTTGACTGAATGTATGATTGAATAACCGTAACTTAGCCTCTCAGCATTAGAGTTTAATTCATGTTGGGGAATCAGAGCAATGTTGACCTTAATAATATGCTTAAATAATTCCTTACATTTAGAGTAAAAACAAACAAAAAAACCTCACCTATTGAAAGTGGAGATAATTCTGAAAAAATGATACATTTGGTACTTAAAAAATTGGATAGCATCAGAATATACTGACCAAGGCCACAGCAACTCCAAGGCACATGAAAATGTGTTAAATATTAATGTATTCAAAGGAAATTTCCAGGAAAACTTGCCTGTTCAAACTCCTCCATGTCTACTTCTCCATCTCCATTCAAGTCAAACATCTTGAAGGCAATTTCAAAATTTCTCTGAGGAGCTGCAAGTTAGGAAGGAAGGAAGGACAGGAGGGAAGGAGGAAGAAAAAAGAAAAATATTTAGAAGGTATTGACCAAAAATAATCATTCCTTTAAGAAAAAAAGATAAACATTAAAATGTAATATCAAGTCACAGAATGCCACCATATGTATCTTAATCAACATTTTAGCAATAGTCCTTAAAACCGAAAGAGAATTTTACCATGGCCAGTAAAGATAGCACTTGTCTATCTTTGTGTTTCAACACTCTCTTTTTAAATACTTCAGCTTTGCTTTCTTAGAAACCATCCTCTTAACTGAATAATATTAACGTTGTTCTGTTACTTAAATATAATGTTATTTATCTGGGCATGAAAGTCTATTTGGGGTGAGATATACTGCTGCAAAGTAAGAAGCTAAAACTCTAAGTCTTTGTCTTGCCTTTTTAAAACAAGCTAGCTTTCTACTTTTTTTCTAATCTCTCCATTGTAATTACAATTAGCAGTTCAGTGGATATCATTCTGCCAATAGGTTATTATCTACACCGCTCTACTCAATGTCACTATAGCTCTGTGGTAAGGCAGAAAAGCACACTGTCAGCTACCCAGCCCCCTATTTTAACCATGTCAGCTGGGTACACAAATTACTAAGCAAAGTACATTTAAATGTTTAAAAAACAAAATGAAAAGTGCAAAGCTTGAGAAGACAGTATATTTTTTTCCCCTTAAGTAAATGATGAAAGTGTTTCAAGACTTCTTTAATGTTCCTAGGTTAATCAAAATAAAATTAATACATTTGTGCATTAGGATAAAATATAAATAGAACAGCCCTCCTTCCTTACCAATGCTAAACGTTCTAGTAAAGAAAACTAGGGACTTCCCTGGCAGTCCAGTGGTTAGGATTCGGCGCTGTCACTGCAGGGGCCTGGGTTCGATCCCTGGTTGGGGAACTAAGATGCCACAGGCCACGTCGCGTGGCCAAAAAAAAAAAAAGAAAACTAAGTCGTTTACCTCCTTCCTTTGGTGCTTCAAATTTATATAGCTATAGAGAATAAACCAAAATAAAATTTCCTACATATCCTAATACTACTGAATTAAATTTTCAGTTAATATCACTTTTAGTAAAAACAAAAAACAACAATTAAAGATTATATGTAGACAAAAGAGTAAAAAAGGGCTTAGTGTATTATGCATTGCTGTAGAGTCCGTATTCCCATCATGCTCATGAATAACACTTTCTAGGCTTAAATTCCATTTTCAGCTAGCTAGCCAACTAAGTGGGTAAGTTCCTGGTTTTTAGTTGCCTGGGTGAATCATGCGCTTGTCAGTTTCCAATTGCCTGTTTCACTTGATAATGGCTTCCAACAGGTTTGCTCTTCTTAGGCCACTAGTATGATTGCTGAGAAGGATGCAGTGGGGGGGGGGGGG